TTGGGGCAATTTTGCTAACAAGTGACCTGTAACCTACTTCTAAAGCTACCAGTAGATAATTATTTGGTAAATTTTCATACTTCAGTTTATGATACTAATTAGTTCTCCAACCAGTATTCCCCAGGCAACGTCTGTAGTCCTACCTCATCACATTTGTGATTCTTGCGACTTGGGATCTCCTGTTTTCATTTAAAAGATGAAAAGCTTAATTTGAGCCCCCAAATTCCTGTATTTTTATGTGTTGTCTGTCATATGTTCTTGCCAGGAGAGTTAGAATACTCTGTAATTTAAAACTCAAAGGGAACCGAGCAAAATGCTTGTCGTTTTGAAGCAATTTCTTTTATTGCAGTCATGACCGTATTAAAAGTAATAACATAACTTGAACAGACTTCAAGTTACTTCTTGAGAAACAGATGGAGGCACCGTGGTGACAGGTGAAGGGTTTGGCATCAGGTGGTTGCAAATTCAAATCACATCCCTACACTCAACTGGGCAAATTTCATCATAATCTGAGTCTAAACTGTTGATAAGGCCATCTGCCTTGCACAACTGCCCCACCTTTGGTGAGATCACATGGTGGTTTTGCACACTCATGCTTGATAATCTCTATCAGTGCTATGCAATAGAAATAGATTATGTACCACATAGGTAATTAAAATTTTTCTAGGAGCCACATTAAAGATGAAATTAAAATTATTTTATTTAGGGGCGCCTGGGCGGCACAGTCGGTTAAGCGTCCGACTTCAGCCAGGTCACGATCTCACGGTCCGTGAGTTTGAGCCCCGCGTCAGGCTCTGGGCTGATGGCTCAGAGCCTGGAGCCTGTTTCCGATTCTTTGTCTCCCTCTCTCTCTGCCCCTCCCCCATTCATGCTCTGTCTCTCTCTGTCCCAAAAAATAAATAAACGTTGAAAAAAAAAATTTTTTTTTAAATAAAATTATTTTATTTAGCCCAACACGTGTGAAATATTACCATTTCAATATGCATACAAATTGAAATGTCCTTTTTAAATTTTTTAGTAGTCTTTTAAATTCATTTTATTAAAACATTTCAGTTTAGGTTAGCCATATTTTAAATGTTCAACAGCCAGATATGGCTAGGGCCTCCTGTATTGAACCATGTAGCAGTGAATCATTAATAAATTCTCATTTCTATCCCTTTGGGTTTTTTGTTCGTTTGTTTTTGAGAGAGAGGGTGTGAGAAAGGGGCAGAGAGAATCCGTGCAGGGTCTGCATTGTCAGCACAGAGCCCAAAGCAGGGTGCAAGCTCACGAGCCATGACATCATGACCTGACCTGAAGTCGGATGCTTAAAGGACTGAGCCACCCACAGGCCCCATCCCTTTGTATTTCAGGAGTACTGTTTAAATTTGAGTTTTCCAGCCAATGGAGTGACTGATGTGGAGAAGTGGGAATCTGTCTTGTAAGTCTGAAATTTATGTAGCTATGAGAGGAATAACCATGAGCACAATGACTGTTAGAGTATAGTTGCTAGTGGTTTCTTGAGTTTTAATTGCCATAGGCAGTATGGTTCTAATGGGGAAAAAATGTATTCCTTGACATCAAAAGTGGGCATCCAAATCAAACAGTGCTATCAGGTACAACTAAAAACAGCTTGAAAAATCCATAGAATTGTCTAGTTTAGTTGGCCTAATGTTTAGGTTTTTAGATCTTGAGGCCCATGAATGGACTTTAGGGGGCACATAAGTCCTTTAAAATTATTCACAACTCATCAGTGTTATTTATTAAAACAATTTTTTTTAACATTTATTCATTTTTGAGAGAGATAGAGTGTGAGTGGGAGAGGGGCAGAGAGAGGGAGACACAGAATCTGAACCAGGCTCCAGGCTCTGAGCTGTCAGCACAGTGCCTGATGAGGGGCTTGAACTCACTGACCATGAGATTATGACCTGAGCTGAGGTCAGATGCCTAACTGACTGAGTCACCTAGGCACCCCTCAATGTTACTTATAGGTCTATTTTTCTGTGTAGAGAATCCATAGCTTCTGTTAGATTCTTACATCGGCCAAGGAAATCAGGGAAATAAAGTATCAGCAGCTGGGGCAGTAGAAAAGTCTGTTGGTTCCAGAGGAACTTCTGTTGACACAGGAGCTAGGCTTTGACACCAGTGAGAACAGAAGTTCTAAATTGTCTCTTGTCACTATTAACCCAGGAAAATCCCTCAACTCAACCACAGGCTGGGAAATGCCAGCACCACAAGGCATTTGGGAGCTCAAATTCACTGAAGAAATGGCAGATTCATGTCTCCTGGCTTATGCTCACTCCAGGGTATCCACTGGTAAAATGTGTTTATTTTTTGGTTGAGGGCACAAGTTGAATGCATCTGAATTAACTGTATATATCTACCTCTCTTGTGTCGCCATGGCACTAACAGCTGTGGGAATAGGTGGTTGGTTCTAAATTCAAATTCCCATTTGTTTATTAAATGAGCCCCATTTTTCTCCTCGAGCCTCTTGCTCATGGATAAAATGATTTCTGATTTGTCTTTGAATTTCTTTTTGGAGTGGATTTGCTCAATTAGATTTGGAGACCTGTCACATTGCAAATTGTGACCAAATGTATTTATATGATGGAATGATTTTTTTTTCATTTAATCTTTATTTTTGGGAGGGAGAGAGAGAGAGAGAGCGCGCGCACAAGTGGGGGAGGAACACAAAGAGAGGGAGACACAGAATTCAAAGCAGGCTCCAGGCTCCAAGCTATCAGCACAGAGCCCGAGGCAGGGCTTGAACCCATGAACTATGAGATCCTGACCTGAGCTGAAGTCAGACGCTTAACCAACTGAGCCACCCAGGCACCCCTATATGATAGAATGATTTTACAAGTAAGTTGTAATGGAAGGATCTAGAATTGAACTTGTTTTTAAGTGGCACTGGCTGACTCCTAAATCTGGAAGCATGTGGGAAGCTCTGGTGAGAAACTTCTCTACTTTTGTGTCACATGATTGGACTGGAGCTCTTGGTTGTTGTGGCCATATACGTGCTTCTGACCTTGAGGGAGAACAGACAAGGGGAGGAAAGCTATTTCCCCTCAGAAACCTGCATACTTCCATGTGTCTTACAGCAGTGTTTATGGTCTGTGAAACGTGAACTAGGAAGAAAGGTTGTGAGATAAGAGAGCACTATAGATGCGCATCTTCTGGGAGCCGAGGGTCCGGTTCTGTTGGCTGGTGAACTTGGGAGAATATAGGAAAAGCAGGCCCCGAATAGTCCACCCTTTTGTAAAAACTTCTCTTTGGAGGGTTGATTAATGTAGCAGATGTAATTATCTTTGCAGCGCCTAATCTGGAAGAGACAATGAACAGACATCTTAAGTAATTCAGTGTCTTACCTTCACGACATTGTTCCGTTGCCCAGTGTGACTGACTCCTAGTTATTCTCAAGATTTTAGCCTCAAAGGCGGCATTTTGGTTGAAGTAGGGGACAGGGGAGGAATAGATGAGATGCCTATACACCTGGTCATTTCAATCACATTTTTGGCCAGATCAGGGAGTAAACCAGATGTCAGACATCATCGCAAATGAAAATGACACCCTTCCAAATCCTATCTTGATTTTTTTTCAGTAGGTATTATAGCTGCAATTGGTGTCAACACCAGAGCCAGGGAACAATTTGTAGCAAATTCATTATTTAAGACCCTGGGGGTTGTTGGGATTTTAAAACATACCAGTTTTGAAACCCACTCATTTTGGTGACTTATGTTATTCTGTGGCAATACCAGATAATTTGCAGAAATGGAAAGTTGGGGCTAGCCACCCAGAGGTGTTTTACTGGCAGGCAGTAATGGTTGCAATAGACCAAAGAGATTTCGTTGTAAACATGACCCTGATTGATAAACTTGCTCCTACTTATTCTTGTCTACAGGATAAATGGGCCAGGTTGAGGCTTTCTGCAAGACAGGAGTCAAAATGGAGGATTAAATGGTGAGTTTGATGCCTTATTCTTTCTTCACTGATAGATATTTGTTTCACGTCTGTCTTTGGGTTTTGGGCAAAATGCAGGTATTGGATGATCTGACTTATATATTCGCAAGGAAGTAGATAATGTAATGGAAGTAAAAAATAAACACTGAAAAAGGCTTTTATTTTATCAGCACCACTGCAAAAAAAAATGAGGAATCACTTCAAACATGTCAAATAGAAAATAATAATTTATTTTAACTTCATTTTACTTAATGTTTAACTAATCATGATTTCATGAGCTTGCTTGTAAAACTCTGTCCCTTCAAATCTACAAAGCAAAGGTTTACTACAATGAGCACTTAAAATTCCACAAACCATCTCCATCCACAACTTTCCTGTACATGCAAATTCTTCCATTGGGCTGCAATATTTGCAAACATGCTTTAAACTTCCATAAAGCTGCATGATATTTTGCTTTCTGTTAAAACCTTTACACACTCTTGGGAACTTTAACCAGAAAAATGTTTAAATGTGTATCCCAACTCTAAACACTGCTGGTTTGGTTATGTATATTAAATCATTAACCACACAGTTTGGTAGTGTTGAGTTGAAGCCTTGACCTAAATTATATATTAATGGTCACTCATATGAAACACATCCAACAAAGTAACATTATAAAATAGAGTTCCATTAAAAATACACACTGGCAGTTGTATCTGTGTTTTCGGCAGGAAAAAAAAAAGCGTGTTTAACTTTTTTATATGAATATAGTTTTAAACAAATTATTCTGTGAAAGTATGCTTAATAAAAAGATCTTTTTGAAATTTAAACACTTTATGTAAAAGGTAGGAAGTAAAAAAGTACAATTGCTATTTGAAAAAAGCTCTGTTTGTTAATATTGCCTTTGTTAAGGGTGGTTTTTCTCCACTTAAAATAGAGCTAGTTGCAGAGCTGGCCAATCTGGACTATAAACAGGATGACCGTATTTATCTTATATACAAAAACTTGCCGCATTGAACGAGGCAGGAATTTCTACCCCAACGGTAGCGTTCTCTTTTATGTACACGACGCAGAAGTGAAAATTATACAGTAGTCACGGATAAGAAGGAATTGTATACTCTCGTGCCATCTGGTGATTTTGTGCCGTGGGTTAAGAGTTCCTGGATTGTCATCCAATTATCAAATATCTTTTTATTCCTCTTCTTCATCATCTTTTTGTGGCTCAGTTCAAGGATATTCATCTCCTTCCTGTCGTCGGCCGCTTGCTGCTCCTTCAGGCAATCCAGCCTGCTCTGCATCATGAACTCGCGCCTGCGCCTCTGCTCCTTGGCCTTTACCACGTGCTGCTTCCTCTCCTCTTTGCTCCAGTAGCGCCCCAGCTTGAGCTCGCTCACTGCGTCGTCGTCGGTTGTCATGCCGCTGCGCTCCTCGCGGATCTTGAGAGCGCGCTCCCGCAGCAGGCGGTCCCGCACCGGCCGCTTGGTGATGTAGCGCGTGCCGTCGCTGCGGACCTTCACTTTCCACTCCATCCTGGCTTCCGCCTGGCCGGCCGAGTTCAGGTCCTTGCACATGCTCACCAGGCTCATCTGGCTCTGCGCATACTCCACGGCCGACTTCTGCTGGATCAGCTGCATGTAGCTCTGGTAGTGCTGCGCGTGCGCCGGGATGTGGGCGTGTTTGTAGGGCGAGTGGGGGAAGGGGGACAGGTAGGAGCCGGCCAGCTTCGGGCTGGGGCTGGGACTCCCGCTGTCGTCGCTGGGCCTGCGCTCCCTGCTCTCGGGGGCCTGGCTGGTCCCCAGCTCTTGAGGAGGAGGGGGGCTGTAGCTGCCCACCTCGGGATCTTCGGTGATGGCCAGCAGGTTCTTTGGGGACGGCCCGTAAGCTTCTGTGGTCCCCACGGCCCCCTCGCTGCTGCCCTCTGCCACTCTCCTCAAGGAGTTGTCGGGGGACATTTCCAAGGTGAGCGGGGTGCTTCGGCAGCTCTCCCCCGTGTTGTAGGCGCTCGAGCTGTCTTTGTCGGATTTCTCCGGGAGCTCGGTGATGTCCGACAGCTCGTGCCTGCGGACGTCGATGCTGGTGTTGTAGTTGCGGAAGCCGCTGTTGTGCAGCATCCAGGACTCGCGGTACTGCTCCCGGAGCTGTTGCATCTTGTGCGCGCGCACGATGCTCAGGCATTCCAGCTCGATGCTGCGCAGCTCCTCGTTCAGCAGCTCCAGCTCTTTGTCCACGCTCTCGGGGTCGCTCTTGCTGGCGTCCAGGGGGCTACTGGCGTAGTACAGGCTGTAAGGGTTGCTGTTCTTGGCCTGGCACTTGAGCTCCAGGAGCTCCCGGAAGCGCTCGCACTCGTCCACGGGGATGCCTAGGTAGTCGGCATCGGCGCAGTCGGCAGACAGGAAGGACTCATTGCTAAACGGCAGGTCGCCGCTGCCCAGGGTGTCCTGGCTGCAAGTGAGCTTCCTCTGCCCGGCCAGCGGGGTGGATGACGCGGTGGCATCGTCGACGTTGTTCTCCTGCTCCGAGCTCTCGTCGTTGCGTGTGCTCTCGTCTGTCCGTCCCACGCCGCTGTCCTTCTCGTGCTGGTTGGACAGGATGGTGGCGGTGTCTGTGGTTCCCCCGTCTTCCTCATGCTTCTTCTGGAACAAGAACAAACGGCCAAAATGAGGGAGGACCCCCCGTGGTTACCAGGTTCCACCTTTCCTGTAGGGCAAGGGTTTCAGGACAGGGCAGGCTCTGCATTTCTAAGGCTCAGGGGCAGCGTATGGGATCAGTACTAGTTCAATGATCTGGCCAGATCGACCGGTGCTAAACTCCTACACTTCTCATCCTCACTTTTCCTGTCTAAGTGGAGGGGAAGAGTCACTTTACCTCAGTGAATGATCCTAGCCATTCAAGGTCCCAGTGCATGGAGAGCAGGAAGCCTACAGGGCCTTATTACTCAATTAGTACTTCATCAGGACTCTGACCACGGAGTGGGCACAGAAGGGGGCTAAAACAATCTAAGCAGCTCAGGCAACACCCAGGGAATTGCTCTACTTTTGAAAACATGACTTCATGTTTTCTGACCTGCTTTAGAGCTGGCCCGTGTGTTTTCCCAACAGCCAGCAAGTCAGCTGTACCTCCCATTACTGCTCAGCTTTAAAAGCCAAGCTGCACTCCCTTGGCCGGTGAGAGTATCAGCTTGCATTTTGTTGGTGTGCAAACAGAAAAGCACTTCATTTTCTTGCTGCCTTCCAGGCCGGTGGGTTTCTGATGGTCTTCCACATCATGAGGGAGATGGAGGGTGCACATTTTGCCATTGCTCAGAGGGGTGAGGGGCCGTGGCCTTACCTGCTGCAGCATGCTGGCGGTGAACTGCATGGCCTGCTGGTGTTGCTCCTCAAGCATGTCCATGTGCAGGTGGTCCAGAAAGTCGTTTCTGTCATCGTCCATCCAGCCCTCGTCCAGCTGCAGAGGAGAAGCAACAGCCACCACAGGCCTCATAAAATATCCCTTTTGTTTTCATTTTACTTACTTTTTAAAAGCAAGGATATTACCCTGGGAGAAGGGGAGAAGGCTCCCTCTCGCAGGAGTTATCAAAGTGCAATGTACCTGTTGGTTTGCTAGCCATCAGAAAACTGGCCTCTTTCATGTGAAAGAGACCTTCCACCCTACACCATGTCTGGCCAAGTCTCTGGTGTCCATGGTTTTATTTTTGCAGGGTGACACCCTTGTATCCCTAGCAGCTACCGTCAGTGGAGCAGGCCCCCTGTGTTCGGGGGTCAGGTTGGGCCAGCCCTGTCTCCTGGCCTGCACACAAGGTTAGCAGGCCCTGAAGAGTGTCTAGTTGTGGTGTGGGAAGAGTTCTTTTTGACACAGAAAACAGGTGTGCTAAAACTAGCTGCCTGGGGCAAGGCTCATCACTCGTTATTAGGCCAGGATCTTCCTAGCACAGACTCTTCAGGGAGCTGAGATCTTACAGCCCGTGGGCTGAATGTGGCCTGCTGTTTGTGGCCACTTCTGTGCTCCAGTGGCAGAGTCTAGCAATTGCACTGGAGACTATATGGCTCCCAAAGCCAAACATATTTATTATTTGGCCTTTTGAAAAAAAGAAAACAAGAATGGTTCTTTAGTTTTATAAAATATTGTATTTTATGTGTAAGATGTACATTGTGATTTAATATACATAAATGTAGTGGAATGATTCCTACAATCCACCTAATAACATAGCATTTCCTCACACAGCTACTTTTTTCGTGTGATGAGACTATCCAAACTCTCAGCCAAGTTGTAGTAGCTATGCAGTGTAGTAGCTATGCAGTAGCTATACAGCCATCATGTGGTAGGTTCCCTCCACTCTTGGGTTAGAATGGAGGTCCACACAGTGGATCTAGGCTGAAACATTTGTCAAACTTTAGAAACTCAAACATCTTGATGGTTATGACCCCGGCTATGTTTTCCATTCCATTATATTTCCTTCTTTTCTCCTTCATTCCCATGCTAATGAGCCTGCTGGGCCTGTAGTATAAATGCCAGGCTGCATGTCAGGGGTCTCCTTACACAGTGGATTTTAGGTCACATCAAATGAGACTGCTATTTCAGGGTACATAGTGCCTTCAAATTCAAACTCAATGCTTGGGCAGTGGTCCATAGGGCCAACAGACTTGGGTTTTTGGTTTTAGAAACACAGACCCAGGGCGCCTCGGTGGCTCAGTTGGTTGCGGGTCAGCTCAGGTGACGATCTCACAGTCTGTTGAGTTTGAGCTCCACGTAGGGCTCTGTGCTGACGGCTCGGAGCCTGCTTGGGGTTCTGTGTCTCCCTCTCTCTGCCCCTCCCTTGCTCATGCTCTATGTCTCAAAAATAAAGTGTTGAAAAAAATTAAAAATAAAGTGTTGTATGGAAACCAATTTGACAATAAATTGCATATTAAAAAAAAAAAAAAAGAAACCCAAATGCTCAGTATGCCACGGACTTCAACTGTGTATATTAAAGATTTAATAAAATGGAGGAGATCCAAATAAAAAAATAAATTTAAGAAATACAGACCCTGCTTCATTGGCAGCAAGTTGACTCACCTGGAGTTCAGGCCTTGCAATCAGCAAAGAAAAGTTTTTGTTTTCTTCACTGGTTAGAAGAGCCACAGCCTCTTCACGGTTCTGCACCTCTATCCCATTAATCTTTAAAAAAAAAGAAAAAAAGTGATGAGGCATCGGAGGGGTGGACAACAGCATAATTAGTTCACCCAAAATCATTCCATACTGTTCCAGGCGGCCGTGTCACCCAGTCACAGCTGGAACACAGAACTTCCACAGAGCTTGAAAAGGATGCTCATTTTCAGAAGGAAAGGCCCTGCTCAGACTAGTCTGTCACTGTGACAGGTGTACAAGGCTACTAATGTGGAAGCTCCGTGAACAGAAGTCGCTGAGACTCCAGAAGGCAGACTGAGAAAAATCACCATGTTGTGAAGAGGGAACAGCTGAGCAATTTCATCAGACAGACTACTCAGGCAGGAACTGAAAGGGAATTATTACAGACACTCATTATTACAGATCTTTTCAGAGAATATGGGAGAAAAAGCAGCAGCAGGTGTGATGCGACCATTACGGAAGGGGAAGGCACATAAGGAAATGGCATTACATGTGGTGTTTTGGGTGCCCGTTTGGTACTTGAACCTTTTTTAGGTGGGACAGAAAGTCTAGTGAGGGGGACTCTCTCTCACACCTGGTATGGAGGTGTCAGTCCCAAGGCAGAGGATTCCTCCAGGGGGCACAGGGATGGTCCCACTGAACAGGAAGGTGAGCCTGCCACTCAACTCCTTATGCCAGGGAACCAGGAGGCAGCAAAGGGGTGACTTGGGGTGACTGAACCCAGTTACCAGTGGAGACAGGCAGGGCCATGTCCGGAACCCACTACTTCCATGCCCCGTAGTGAAGGCTAATGGAAAGCTACAGCATCCCCAAACACAGGACTGCAGGTGCATCAGCACATTTAGGAATCAAGGTCTGGGTGACTCTACCAGGAAAGGGTTCTTAAGCAGCTGAGGTTTGGGATGAAGTCTGAGGAAATGTAGAATAAGCAGTGGAAGAAGAAAGTAAAAATTACTCATGGTGAGGGGTGTTAATGGCAGATATAAACATAGTGGGTTAGAAATGAGACGGTGTGACTGAGAAGAGGCAGACGCTAAGCCCTGTGGCAAAGAATCTCAATTTCTGTGAGATTAAAACAGACTGCTGTTGAAACAAGCCAGTCTCATTTTGAGTCCAAAGAGCATTCAGGGTCCTGGTGAAGAAACTACCCATAGAAGCCATTCTATGGTATGGTGGCATTCAACTCATGAAATTTAAAATGCTTCTCCATCTATTTTACTAAATTTGCCCAAGATGTTTCTATTTTCGGGGCAAGACCAACCTTGACACGTGTGCTCCAAAATTAAATTTTAATAAAAGGGAGGAGGCGCCTGGGTGGCTCAGTCAGTTAAACATGGGACTTCGGCTCAGGTCATGATCTCACTGTTTGTGGGTTCGAGCCCCACGTTGGGCTCTGTGCTGACAGCTCACAGCCTGGAGCCTGATTCAGATTCTGTGTCTCCCTCTCTCAAAAATAAAAAACATCAAAAAAATTTTTAAAACAAGAATTATTTTGGTTCACAAGTGGCCAAAATTACTGGCTTGACCTGGGCCCCTGCTGGGTGGTCTTTGACCAAAGAGAATGAAAGGAAATGAGGTTCGCCTTCTGTAAGGTGCTGGGGCACGCTCCCATTTGTCCTAGGCCTCCACACTCCCTGGTGCATCTTACTTTCTGGGGCTTGTGATTCACTCATTCATTTAACTTGTCTGGCCTCACTATATACCACATCTGATTTGGTAATCCTGGTTCTTTAACCTCTTCAGCCCTAAAGCTATTGACTTAACCCATAAAATGTGCTCCCCACTGTCAGGCAGGGGACGAAGCTGCTGGCTGGATGGAAGCTGACGTACCTGGATAATGCGATCTCCTTCTCGGATGCGCCCATCCTTGGCCGCGATACTGTTAGGGTCGATCTGAAACAACACAATGAATATGTCAGCACAGAATGGAGAACTAAGACACGTATAGAAATAAACAAGACTTAGTGTCATGCAAGGAGAGACCATCATGGATCGCTCTGTTTCCAAGTCCTTTCCTGGGCGTGCTCTCGTATGCTTGCATAGCATCCCTGTTACATGGCAGCGTGTGCAGACCCTGGGGACTTAAGGGATGGAGAGGCACAGCTGACTTGTGTTGCATTCACAGAAATGAAAACCACAGTGTGATGCAGAACAGGTTCAAGGGTACCCTTCGCTATGTTGTTCATCATCAGCCATTGCCTTGATTATTGTACTAAATGCTTCAATTTTGGAAAACAACTTTAAAAACAAAATATAACTGAGACAGACAGGATTAAGTATGGGAAAAATCCCTCCAAATTCAGTCATAGAGGACGTTCTTAAGCTTGGTGAACATAGTACATCCAAAGGAATAATTATTAAGCCTAGTAAACATAACACTTTGTTCTTCCCACAGAGAGAGGTTTTATTTCCTCACACAGTTGAGTGTCTGTGCTTGCAGACATGGGAGTATATGGGAAGGGATCCATACTGACAGCAGTGGCTTTGCATTGTCTTCTCTAATAAGATCAAAATAGCTTCCATCTATGTACTTTGAAGATGCATTTAACTTACATGAAATCAACTATATACACATTCAACCAAAAGGAAAAAAAAAGAGTAAGAGATAAAGAAATACTTTAAAAAGTGTAAATGATTCCATCCACCATCCCATTCAATGAACACGAGAAGGGAAATGTGAATCTGCTCTTCTTCCCCTGGGGCTGAACACACAAAACCATGTAAACGGCTCCGTTTTATGGCCGATTTGCAGGCTTCTCCAGGGTAATTTTGCCTTATGTGCTGACATTTGAACTTAACTCCCATGTAAAGACGTAACTCCAAGGACTGTGTGATGAAGGAGACAAAGACATTTGTGTCTTTCCAAAGACTTCTCAATGAGCCAGAGGTAAGGCTGGGTAATATATAATAGAAAAAAAAAACCCTCTTCTGGTCTTGAGACGATAGTTAGAAATACTCAGCCTTCATACCTCACTTATATAAATCCCAATGTCCTCTTCATCGTCTGTCCGGTAGCACACTGTGAGGCCCAGCTTGTCCTGGCTGTTCATTCTGTAGAGGTCCACTTCCTAGACAAAGAAAGGGCATTTCTAGTGAGCCTCAGAAGGCGGGGGGGGGGGGGGGGGGGGGGGGGGGGGGGGAAGGGTCAAAGGCTTAAAAAATATTTTGTTTCAATGATGAACTGGATTTCTTTGTATTTGAGTGTGTAGAGCGGTTAACTTACTAAACAAAAAGTGATTATGGACACAGGATCAATGCCCACGGCATTTCTGACCTTTCAGTCAATATAAAGTCATTTTGAAAATAGTTATTTTATTGATCCCCCAAAAGAAAAATTACCTATATTTCACTCAGTGTCAAGATTTCTGGGGTAGGGCTTTTAAAAAGCATTTTTTCAATGTCTGCCACAAACGAGAATATTTCCAAAGGCCCAAACCATCCAGCCATTTCAGTACAAATGTTTCCAATGTGTTCGGTTAGATTATTTCACGTTGCATTCCCTTAACATTCACAGTAATAGAACTTGCAAACAGATTACACATAAATTGATCCAAGAAAGGAGGGTAACGTGATAGCACGCAATTAATGCTTTCCACAACAGCTGTGATATTTACAGTCGAGAAATTAGTTTCAGCCGCTATTACCGCAAATTAAATAAGATAAAAGCAAAGTGAGCCCAAATGTGAGACACATGAGCACTGGGAACGTCCCTGTATGTGCCAGTTAGTCCGCGCTTCAGAATGAAGTCAGAACTTTGAAAATTGTTGGAGCCTTGGGACGAAGTTCTGGGTTTTCTGCAAGTATTAATAGGCCTCACTGCCTTCTCTCCCACACTGCCAACTACCCCGATGACATTCTGCAGCAGTAAGCCACAGGTCTGTTTGAAGGGCTGCCTGGTAAGGTCTCCACCAGGTCTCTTGGCCTGGTTTTTACTGTTGACTGCTTGCCAACCAGGAGGGTGAAGGCACTCAGAGAGAATGGGACTTCGAAACCACGGTCTCTGGGGGCCACTTCCTCTCTCTCCTCTTCCTGGAGGGTAAGGGTGCAGTTGTTTTTGTGGGAAAGCTCCAAGCAGTTATACAACAGATACTTCCTGAACCCTCCCTTGTGAAAGGCAGGGCACCCAACACCATGGAAATTTTCAAGGCTGAAGAATAGCAAGTACAAATATCTTGGGCCAGTAATGCCAAAGCCCTGTGTGCGAGGGAGAGAGAGGCAGGCCGAGCATGGCCAGCTATGAGGACAGATTAGGTGGGACCCCATAGGCCAGTGTGAAGAGCTCCGATCTTATCTCAGCATCGTGGGAACCAGTGAAAAAGCTTTAAGTGACGACTGTCCCAATCCGACTAGTTTCTGCAGAATTTCTGGCTGACAGACGGGAGTATAATGTGGTGGTAAAGAATTGGGGCTGTGAAGACAGGCTGACCTGTGTTCAGATCCCAAATCCACCTCCTTCTAGTATCTTTGTCATGTACTTGTTGCTGTATCTAAGTGTCACTAGGAATTGCCACCCTGCTGCCTTAGGCAGGGTCAAGACTCATTGAGGTTTAAGGCATGCAGAGCTCTTAGCACAATGCCTGGCCTACAGAAAGCCAATAGGACATGGGAGTATAGTAATGACTGCAGGGGTGTTTACGTGCCTCAAGTCCCAGAAATTGCTTATAGCAGAGTGGGTACATCTGCCCCCCCCCAATAAGATGGCTTTATTTCCTGAACACTGACATGTTAGACTTCTAATTATAGCTTTAGCAATATGGCAAATTTTCATTAAATGAAACCCCATTAATTTCTGATACTTGAATTGGATGGGAATTTCTCATGTTTTGAGAACTGGACTTAAGCACAGTAATGGGGACGTGTGAGTTTAAGGGTCACTATTTAACTACAAGGGCCAATTCTTTCCAAATACTTTGGAGTGACCAAATTGCATACCTCAACTATATTGTTAGTCACACATCCTCCTCTTATGTTTCAAACACATGCCCACATCTGTCTCAGGTTACTCTTCATTTGGGTCTGGGTAAGAGCAAAGACTCTCTCTGTTTTAGCCCTTCCCAAGGTTAGTGCAAATCAGCGGAATTTCCTGATGATTTGTTTGGGTCCAAATGCACAACTGTAGCCAAATGCTACTACCACAGAGCCCTGTGCTATGTATCATGGTGGAAGCCAGATGGTTTTGGAACAGGTCCATGTGCAACCAAAGCAGAGAGAGAGAGATGGAAAGGTTATAGGAAGAAAAATGAGCCAATAAATGTTGTGATATTCCTTTTAACAGAATTGAAAACAGTAATATGAGTTACAGCTTTTTCCAAATAATTGAGCCACCAAGGTGAATATCTAAGCATAAATGATATCAGAGTTCACATGTGCTTCCAAGTGTGGTTGTGAGGAAGTCAGTGCAGGCATTGAGGGAAGTGTTTAGAAACTATTACAGCATTTGGACATTGTCATAATATCCAAGAACAAGATCTGCAGGCTTGTCTCATTGGCCAAATTGTCTATCGGTTCAGGTACTGTGGACTCAAGTGGCAAGCTGTATATGGGGTGAGCTATATGGTTTCACATGGTACAACCACATATTGGTAACACACTGAAAATTAAACCAACTGGTCCACCTGGTCATCATCGTTTTTCATTGTAGACAGTCCGAGAAGCACAGCTCTGTGAGGACTCCATTTTGAGAACCCAGGAAAGTGAAAAGTCTGGAAATCATGTTTTAGAAAAGAACAGTGTAATGTACTACGGTTATTCAAATGAAGAAGGAAGACTCATAAGGAATGTGATACCTGAAGGTCTGCTATGTAAAAAATGATTACCTTTATTTGGCCTAGTTCCCAACATGTAGTCAGCTATCTTAAGGGCTAAGTAAATGATTTCGATAAAAACCTAACGTGAAAATCATTTCTACTATGTTTTTTCAGTTAGTGTTTTGACTGACAGATAATTTGGAAAACTATGGAACTATAAATGTGGACATTAGTTGATGTTGCTATTGGTAGGGGGACTGTTTCCCTTCTGAATCTTGCCAGTTCAACAAATCTTTGATAACCAGGGAGAAAACTTTCTTGCAACAAAATGTCAGACTGGAAAGGAATACATCCTCAAGTGTTAGTTGCTTTAAAACAATATTCCTGAATCCCTGATAAGTGAATCAAAGATACTAAATTATACTCTCCTTGAACACATTTTATATTCTGTCATTAACCCCACATGTGATTAGCCGGTTAATAATAGTTTTCCAATAAATACCGTCGGAAATGACACACAATACATGATGGTCAAACATTCCCACTTTTTTGCAAGGGAGACAAGAGGTTCTCATTACCCAATCTACTCCTAGGTAGTGATGCACTGAGAATGCAGTGCTCCCTTCCTACAGCAGAAAGATTTAGCCGACATTGCATTTAGCCTTTAAATCCCATTGCAAATCCTCCCAGGGCAGACTGTCAGGGTGACAGTCACATTTTCACTTTGGCCAGATTTGACTTAAATATCACAAAAGCCAAATTCCATCCTTGACATGGATACGAAGCTGGTTCTAGCATGACACCCACACCATGTGACAGGGCAGAGCACAGAAGCCAGCTCTAATCTGAAACACTTGCCTTGAGAATGTTAAAGCTTTGTCTTCCAGCCCCAATTCCACTTGGCTGTGAAGCAAACTTTAGGACTTGCTTTCTAAAAGAGATTCAAGAATGGGAGGGTAATTCTAGTTTAAGGCTAGTCCTTTGGGAACAGCTTTCTGTCTTAGAAATCATCTGGTTTTAAAAAGGATGAGTGGTACCGGATGAATAATGTTGATATTACATTTCAAGCAATAATAAAGGAAGGGGTGTTCTGGAGTTTACTCCAGGTATGTACTTGACATTGATACTACCTAGGATGGCTTGGGCTATAATGTTTCCTTGTGTTAGCTGGATCTTCTGAGGAGCTCTAAACAAAAGCCAGGAAATTTTCATTAAGAAGGCATATGGTGTAACTTAGCTATGGTCACTCAATTTCCAAGGAGTGATTCAACATCCTAAAAAAGAGCCTGGTTGCTAACAGCTAAGCAAAGAGCGAACCATAAAAGGTTTTCAGAAGCTCTAGAAAAACAACATAGTAAGTAAGAACTGCTACCACTACCATCTTGACTCTCTCTAAATCTGAGTTTTATCTTGGTTGCTCCTAAAGAAGATTATAGTAAGGCAACAGTAGCTGTGTAATAACGTGTGCAGTAAAAAAGGATCTAGCCAAATACACTGTGCACAGTAGGTGCTCAAAATTCAATGAAAGAGCTTGAGATTGCAAGGCAGAAAAAAATCCAAATGAAAACCAATCCTGGCTCTGCCACTCACAAGCTAGACTGTCCTGGGAAAGTCACTTCACTTCTCTGCTATTCTACAATTTCATAACCAGATATGGTGTTTGGGGCTTAGCAGACAGTTCTCCAAGCTCACTGGGTGGTTTGTAAATTCTCAACATTGCATTCTGACCCTAAGCTAAAGGCAGAGCCTTACTCAACTGAGCACATCACTGAAAGCTTAGAGGTTATCAATACATATCTGTCTGTGATGATGGAGATAAGATTTCAAAGAAGACCATTAATCAAACTGGTATGAATAATGTATTAGCATTATCTGGATTACAGCTCCCCCACCACCGGTGTCCTGTTCCTGGTCTAGATGGACTGTTGGATAAAAATGAACTGCTAAGCCTGACATTTCAGATGAAATTGAAACGATAGCCCAATTAAGAGAATTAATGGGGCCATTCCACCTGGGTGATTCAAGCTTTCTGTTTCAACGTCAGCCACTTTAATCAGAGGGGATCCTAAGGACTAATTTCAATGGCTTATCCCACTCTGGGAAGACGAGTCACTGAAGCATAACTCTACCTTATCGGTTCAGAACTGCTGTGCATATTTCTTTAAATTATCTCAACCCTTTCTGTGTCTGCATAGGGCTAAATGCAACACAGAGGTGTCTCTAAACAGGCTGCACTTCCCTTCAAAAACCTACGGTATTTTTGAGGTACGGTATTTTGAGATACGGTAACAAGGCATTTATTCCTTCACTCAACAAATGTTCACAAGGTACCTACTATGTGCCAAGCGCTATCCAGGCATGAGGAGTGTAGGTGCGAACGATTTGGACAAGAGCCCAGCTCTCATGGGACTTGTATTCTAGTGGGGGAGCCAGACGATAAGAAAGAGATGGCACTAATGGGGCAGGGATGCTTTAGACAGAGTGCTCCGGAAGCCTCCCTGGAGGTGACATTTGGACAAAAGGCGGTGCGAGACTGGGCCACGCTAAGATCTAGGCAGGTGCTATTTGGACCAAGAGAAGAGTGGGTGGAAGGTTTTGGTGTGTAGATAGTAGTCTGAAGAATGGTAAAAAGTGCTGATTATACTAATACGGTGAGGAGGCCAACTCAGGGAAGGCAGGGCTGACTGTGGAAGGTTCCCCGGAGAAACCCTTAAAGGCTAAAGAAAAAAGTATAGATTCGCTGAGGCATCCTGTATCTTCTTCAGGACAATTCCAAATCCGTAATGATCTACTTAGATTATTCAAATGAAACCAGGTTTGGAGGTCATTTTAGTCTCCCCGTTGAAACTAGCTTTCTTCTCTTTTCTCACCTCAAAATTACATCATCAGAAAACAACATAGGTGAGGGGAGCCTCACAGCCTGGAGAGGCGGCTACTGATGAAGCAACTGGGAAATTAAAACAATAGATTAAGGAAAAAACCTTCTTCAGACATCTATTTTCCTTCTTAATTGCCTACAGGAAGATCTAGAACAGGTGTTCAGTACCTGAAAATTTATGGGTAATTATGTGGCTGCTCAACCCTTGGGTATACTTGGGTATAATCCTTTTAGCTTTACACAGTTTCACAATAACAGGGAATTGACACTTGCCTAAATGCGATCATTTTGTGTGCTTTAAAAGACAGAACATCTGTTTTTCTCTACGCGTGTGCTTCAGTATTATCCCTATACACTCATGTAGTTTCCTCCTATATAATAATCCATGGAACTAGTTATCTTTCGAAAGGTGTGGAACGTTGATGTCATTCGATGCTGAGGCTGAGTGGTGTGTTAACAGTGGACCCCCAACCCAAAACACACTCTTTTTGTAATCTCACCCCAAAGTGGGGGAATACAAGGGGGATGGAATATAGCAGAGACAGACTGTTGGCTGTTCTAAGAAATCTCTGAAAAGCAGGAGATGACCGGTATGTGCCAGTCTCCCTAAAAACCGGGTCTGTTTTAGCAAACCCAATTCTTGGCACTGAGGTTGGTTTATTAACATTCTGGAACTGACCAGACTACCTTCCAAAGCCTCTGAAACAGGGCAGTACTGGAGGTACAGACATCGTTCTCTTCCTGAGAAAATGCAACAGTAAGCTCCAGGAAGACTCTGGAGTCTTTCCCACTGGACTTAGAATAGACCTTTCATCCAAAACCACCAGGTTCACTTTATGAGATGTGCTTAGTTAAGAGAAATCACCTGGTGACAACTAAGCTGGTAAGGACAAAAGTCCAAATGTGAGAGCAGCCTTCCTGCCTGGCATGGACTCATGACCATATATTGGTTTTCTTAGGAGATGCCAAGCTCACGTCTGACAATCCTAATGGCTAATGAACCACAAGGGGCTTCAACTCCTTAAGGGCAAGCAGGGTGGTGACTTCCTGATTTGGCATTTCTGGCACCAGTGTATGCAGTGTAACAGGTGATCAGTGAAAGCAGGCAAGTAGAAATGAAAATAATCATGGATTTAGCAAAGTCTCAAGGCATCAAAGGTCTAACTTAAAACATTCACCTAATCTCTTAAATACTTGGGATTGTTGGCCTCTGCTTTTTAATCATGAAAAGAAGAAAGTCTTAGCATAGTGCTGCATGTCTACAGGGGGCGGAGTCATTTCTAGTCCATAGGACTTCACTCTGCCCTGGGGAAGCGTAGATGGCATTGGAGTCTTGGAGGCACATCTTTACATGAGAGTGGATGAAATGGGTAACCAAAGCCTCACTGCTTCTACCCATGACAAGAGCACACGGAAGCTTGGACTTCTTCACCTTGACGTCAGGCCTCCTCCAGCTTTAACGTGCAATGAGGCACCCGGACATCTTGTTAAAATGCAGATTCTGACTTGGTAGTTTTAAAGGCCAAGATTCTGCATTTCTTTCCTTCTCCCAGGTGATTCTGTGCTGTTCCTATCACACATTTTGAATAACAAGGTTCTAGGGAATGGTTTTAGAGTGGCGTCTACCAAAAGCAAGATGCTCGAAGATAGTTCACACTGAGAAAGTTACTTCATTTACTAAGGCAGACTCAGTCTGGCTAGTCTTAACAGTTCTGTAACACAAGCCAATCTCTTAAGAAAGAGAAAAAGAAGGAGTGGGGCAAATCAGCCCCAGGCTCCCAGTCCTTGCCAGGCACCACCAATTAACACTAGGATGTGGTAACGCTGCCTTATGTCCACTGTCTATATTGTATAGCACCTTCTATTTATGGCAGTGATGCTGATTTTCTGTTGGAGATAGTTATAGAGCATTTCCTTTAGAATAAATTTACCTTGGTTTAAGTGAGTTGGGTTAAAGCAAAATAGAAAGTAAACAATGATTCTGGTGGTATTCAGATGTAACAAACTGTAAGGCAGAATGGGCCAGATTGGACAGATACTGTAGGAACTCAGTGACCTTCCAGAAACCATCTGCAGGCTCTTTTAGACATGAGCATGTTTCTAGGAAGAAACCATAGCTTCCATCAGGCTCTCGAAAGTGTTAGACACTAAAATAGAACTCAAGAACTCACTGCTATCAACTCAAGTTTAACTAAGTGCCCATGACTTACAAAGTCTACACTATACAGCTGAACAACATGGGTTTCAACTGTGTGGGTCCACCTACATGTGGACTGTTTTCGATAACTACAATAAGGTATTAGAAGAAATGTATTTTCTCTCCCTTATTTTCTTTTCTCTACTTACCCAATTACAAGAATACAGTATACAACACATATAACATACAAAATACGTGTTATTCAACTGTTTATGTTATTGGGAAGGCTTCTGGTCAACGGTAAGCTAATAGTTAAGTTTTTGGAGATTGAAAAGGTAGACATGGATTTTAGACTGTGTAGGAGGTCGGCACTCTTAATCCCTGTGTAGTTCAAAGGTCAAATGGGCTCCATAAATCTAGCTCCTGGGATATTTAATAGCTTTCTAAAGACCTCTGTCACAATTACATTGATTATCAAAAAGCAGTGTTGTCCTGTAAAGATTATTAAATAGCCCTTCTTCTTGTAAAGCACCGTTCCAGAGAATTCTAGACCCAGGAAATGTTAACAGGTACCTGGCCAAAGAGAAACTGTTAGAGGAAGAGAAGTAGGTGTGCATAATTCTGCCTATTGAATTTTCTCCCCCTCTCCAGGGCATTTACCATGCTCTTGAATGTATTCAAGACTGACAAGTCCTCTATGACAAAAATCTGTTCACTGTGGTTCACTCTGACAGTTCTCAAACATAGGTGATGTGGAACCACCTTTGCGAACACTGTGTATTAACACCATAAGAGCTAGCGTCCTAGGGGAGGCACTGGCTGCTTCATGAACCGGCCCTGAAGTTGGGGAGATGAGCCAAGTATAAATAAAAGGCAGAATCCTTAATTTCCTTGAAAGGCACAAGGCTACATTTCATGTAGCAGTCAGTGGATGGCAAGTGCTGTGGTCTACAGTTGATGACAAGCAGGAACCCTGGCAGTTTATAGAGTCAGAATTTCTGCCATTCCAGTTTAGACCGTATGCATTTAGCAGGACATTTAAATTTTCAAAAAGAAATGTCCCGGAGTCAGTCATGACTTTAGTGCCAAATACACTGATTTTCTGCATTGGGCTATAGGGGGGCAACCAGCAAAGACATTATTTGCACACTTTGATCTTCAGCTTCTGTTCTGGAACAAAAACCCTTGGTAACTGTGAAGGAAACCTGGACGAACACAGCTGTTTTCCACTTGTCTGCTGCTCAGCAACTCATCAACCTCACTGGTGTTGGTTGGTAGCCCAGATTACACGATGGTTGGCCATACAGCTGAATAAAGCATTACGGGACTTTTCCTGGCTTACCTTCTGATGGTGACACAGGGTTTACCCTTGACATCACGAATCTTTCTCAAAGGTCCCAATTATCCTATTCCGTAAAGTCACTTTTCAAAAAACGCTCTTGTATTTTTTGAAAACACAATGAAATACAGGAATCAGTGTTTACACAAAAGCATAAATAAATATATCTTGAAAGGTGGCTTTTCTCTTATTTTCTATCACTCTTACTAAATCACAAATGAGAACAAGAACCCTGTAAACTGATGTCCTCCAGGGGAGGTGGGAGGGGGGACAGGTGATAGCGGAGGGGTATTAAGAGCACACTTACCGTGACAGGCACTGCGGTGTGTACAGAACTGCTGAATCACTATATCGTACACCTGAAACTAACCTAACACCGCAAGGTAGTTATACTGGAATAAAAATAATTGAAAAAACCTGAGAGGCCAGTGTGACTACACATCATCTAGAATCTTGAGTCCTATTTGGCCTCAAGTAACACTTAAGGAGAGCCATGGATTTTCTAATTTTTTCAAGCTCAGTGTTAGTAAACTTTGGGCAAACGCTTTGGTGTTGGTGTGGGCTAGCTAATCATTTATCCACCTATTCTTGCCTCTGAGTACAAAAGGTGATGACTTCAAGAGCAGAAAGCTAGGGAAGCTCACTGTAGTTGCAAGAATGTGTGGACTTGAGAGCCTGATGGAAAGGAGATTACACAAATTCAAAGATCTACAACAGGACTTACTACCCTGTCATTTAAGGAATTTAAAAAAAATCCTCCATTTCTGCTTTGTGATCCAATTGTTATGCTCTGTTTTGAAGGGAGTTGGGAGAAAAGCTCAATTACGCCTTTAAATGCATGAGTGAAAGTAGTTCTTGTACAAAAATCCACTCACAGTGGCTATTTTACTGATATCCATAAACTACACTTAAAGGGAACTTGTCAGTCTTGGGAAGGAGCCCTAAATCTAGACAGGCTGTGCTTACCTCCAACTCCAGCTCCTCCCTGTCCATGTCCTGATGGATGCTTCCAATGTAGTCATTGGGGTCATAGTACTCGTGGGCTGAGGGATGCCTGCAAACAGAAGAGAGACCTTTCAGGCCCCTTGCACTTGGAAGTAGCTGCTTTCATCCCCCCCCCCCGCCGTGACAAGGGTCCATTGTGATGTGGCACAAATTCTCCGGGGTGCTGTCTCAGCTTGCTTCTCCCTGCCTGTGTTTCCCAGCAGGGTCAGGACCTCCCCTGTAACACTTCTGTCCTCTGCACTAAAGTCCTTCCCCTTGGAAGAAGATGGAGATGACAGTGGGACAGCCTTAGGTGCTCCCAGGGACCATCCCCCAGTTGACTAGTCATGTGGGTCAACAGGACTCATTTCTGGTTTTGTTTTGTTTTTTTTATGTTTATTTATTTATTTTGAGAGCATGAGTGGGGAAGGGCAGAAAGAGATGAACAGAGAGAATCCCAAGCAGGCTCTGTACTGTCAGCACAGAGCCCCGTGCAGGGCCTGAACTCACCAACTGTGAGCCAAAACCAGGAGTCGGACACTTAACCAACTGAACCACCCAGGCACTCCAAGAGGACTCATTTCTAACTCGAGGTTGGAGACATACTCCTATTTCCTGCTTATTGCTTCACTGATGGATTTTATCTTTGGGGAAAAAAAGGCTGGACTTCAGGCTACATTCAAAGACATGTGTTGGCCTCTGAGTCAGGTCCAAAGGGACTGTGACAAAAAGTGCTATGCTGTCATCTAGGACAGTGTTTTCACAACTTTTGTGATTGTTCCCCAACAAGGAATACATTTGGCATGAAAACCTTGTATGCACATACAGGTATATAATGAGCATACATACATGCACACATAAAATGCATGAGTGTATAAGCACACATGCATAGGCAGCCACTGCTCAGAGAACAGAAGCTTGAGTCTCTCTCTAGGACAACAGATGTGAAACACTATTTACAGAAACACTATACTACTTACACTATTTACAGAACCCACCAGCTCTCTGGAAATAACATTAACTGAACGTCTAGAAGCAAAGGCAGTGGGAATGATAGGAGGCTCGGCCGGCAACTCTGAAAGGTGCCAGATGTGGACGGCAAGCTTCAGCCTGATTGTTGACTGTGGGCTCAAACCTTCTTGTTCTCAAAGGTCAGCACAGCAATCGATGGGCTCTGGTCTTCCCTCCCACGCACTTACTTTTGAAAAAACAGACCAGACATGAAGGGTCATTCCAACGAGGGCTGGCTTTCAGTTTTCTGGACCTATCAGGGCCTATCAGGTAAATATACTGCCAGCACTTAAGGGGCTTTTAGTACTGAGGATGCTGTTGGAAGGCCTGGGCTGTCAAGCATCAAGTTAACACTCCCCTTTCAATCCCGATGCGTACTCTTGCTCTCCTCTGACCTTGCGGCCAGAACCTGGTCTGACCTCTGCACTCTACTGACATTTCTCAAGTTTCCCCGTGGGGGTAAGTCATGTCATGTTAGCTAGACTTAAGAGGAGATTAAAGGTCTGGTTTCTAAAAGGCCCATCACTGTGACAGTTCACCATCTGAGAGTCAGGACTTGCCGTAAAGGCCTCATCAATACTGGGAGGCAGTTTTGGTCTATAAAGTCAAATAACTGGCATGAATGATGATACTCAGTGAATCAGGCAATTCTTTCACAGGATCAACTGGGACGCAACCGAGCAGCGGTGACTAAGAGCTGGGAGTTGAGGTGATGCGGGACCTGCCTTTCAATCCGGCTGCCTACGTAAGCTGAGGAGAACGGGTGAGCATGTGAGTTCCCCACTGCATGGGAGGGGCAGTTGTGAGGCATAAATGAGCTAACAGTTCTTTGCACACGACCATGCGCCCTGAGCATGGATGTGATCGGTGGCCCCTCCTTTCCCCTTACACACTGTCCACTGCAGCGGAGATGACTTTGTCGGGCCTGGGCAATCGACCCTGGGTTCCTATAACGGCTAACGGATAGCACCACGGGATGAAAGGCAAGCCTCTGTCTGGCACCTGACAGAACCACAGGGAACATGTGCTCACTCCTGCTTCTGAGTTACTAGCAGAAACCCAACAGGTATCACTCAGAAGTTTGCCACAGAAGAGGAAAAACGCCCTTTAAAATAAAGCACAAGTCAATGATCTGAACAAGGAGCAAGACAGGAAGAGCCGGGAGTGACTCTCACATCACCTAGAGAGGCTGAGGTGGGGAGGTGGACACATTGCCCTCAAATATGCAAAATCACAAGCGAAAAGCTACGTTAAAGGGGCTGTCTTCTCAGCCAGTGGTCTGTCTTAAAAAATGGCGTGCTCTTCATTTTCTTCCCCTAAATATTTAATCCGTCACTGAATTAATGATGATTGCTGCTGCCACTTATTAGGGAGAACTTCCCACACATTATTTCCTTTAATCCAACACTGTACTCTAAATGCTATTACTATTTTTCCTCTATTAACACGGGGATAAAGTAAATTACTCCAGCTGCCCAGCTAGGGATGAGTCTGAGCATCGGGCTTGACTGACTCGAAGGCTCTGAGCTCCTCTGTATCTCTGGCAGGAAGGAAGGTAAGAGGAGAGTCATGTGGAGGGTGATTAATGTGGGGTGTTGGACCGCAGCTGTTACTTAATCGGTAAATTCGGTACTTATATGAGGCACGTGTGGGCTTATTAACACAGATCCAGGTTTGAAACGAGACCCAAGAAAGCAGAACGCACAACCTTCAGGGCTCTCTTTACGCTCCCAACGTACTTTGTTGTCTATTTAAAAGGATCATCAGCATTCCCTCTAGTTGTAACGCCAAACCTTCACATTGCCATTTGTGGTGATAACATTTTATTCTGAAATAACTTTGACGACATTTGTAAGTCATGTTGTTTTGGGAATATAATTTGAATAACTCCGCTCCAGGGTTATAATAAAGTAATTAATATGTCGGTGCGGTTTTGAGCAGGATTCAATTGACTGCCTCTATAAACGATAAAGTTAAGCACGGGCAACGTGGAGGAAAATTGTAAGAGACATCAGTTTTTTTTCACCACATGGAAGGGAAGAAACCAACTTCACTGGGCTACTTTACCACACTTAACACGTTAGCGTTGCATGGTCATGTGACTTACTCCTCTGGCAGGAGATAGGGATCCAACACAGGTGGGGTGGGAGAGGACATCTTCGTGAGAGCCATGATGTGCTCGAAGGTGATGTCGGTCTGGGTTCCTGTGTCCACCAGCTGCGACTCGGATGGAGGCGTGAACATTTTGGTCCGTGGGGTTCTCCTCAACACCTGTACCACAATGGGCTCTTTGGCCGTCTTGAAAGCTTCCACAGCCTGGTCATGAGTTGCTCTGGATAAGTCTTTGCCGTTGACCTGTGGAAAAATATTTAGGGTGAGAGAGGCTTATAGTCAAGCAGAAGCAGGGAAGATTGTTCTCCTGGGTGAGTGCGTAAAAATAACAACTCGAGGGTGTCCGACAATTGCAGTTCTCTCTGGTTTAGGTTTCCTAAGGAATGCCTAGTGGGATGGGAATGAGTTTGAAAGACTCCAGATCTGGTATTAAATAATAAATCTCACAGTGGGGAAGTCTTGGCTTCCTACCGGGATGTCTTTAACACAGGTTCATCACCTGCTAATCTTGCCTGTGAGAGAAAAGAGCAGCCTTGGGCTCCGAGCCTTTATCAGGCAATAATAGCTAACTGGAAATTAATTACATTGTTATGTTTTAATGGGGTGTATTATGTCAGGTGACATTAGCTTTCCTTTTATGGGAGTGATAGGAAGTTTTCTTTTTAAATGAATTGCTTTGCTTTTTTTTTTTCCTTTCAAAAAAAGTCAATTAAAAATACTCAGGAAATGATAATCCAGGCCGTAGGTGGATATGGCCGCTATCAAGGAAGTACACAAATGGCTGGCATACTGGCTGACGTTGGGGACACGACAGCTAGCGTAACTGCGGTCCTGTTTCTCCCTGTGTACGGCCTTTGCTGCAGCCGCATCCCCAGTGCCTGTGTTTACTGAGTGTCTACTGTCTACAGCATGACTTCCATGAAGCCACCGCTCAACCCTTCTCTCAACATAGCCTGGGAAGTTGGCAGAGCAAAAATCACGTCCATCTCTCTCCTCCGACAGCCTCAAATAAACCACAAGAGATCACCTGCGTAGTGGTGGGTCGCAACTCTGTACCACTGGAAAGAATCCTTGGAGGCAGCATCCGATAAAAACTCACTCAACATGGCTATCTTTAGCACGGCTTGCGCAAGAGGAAACAGAAGCCAGAACCTTATTTCGAGAAAATGAAGCCACTCCCAGCAACCTGTTAGCCCAACTATTTAACTGACCCCACGTTCCAACAGTCTGATAATGTCACATGGCAGCACTGCATGCAAGTTATCAGGCTCCGGCATATTTCAATATTATTCCCCAAGCGGTTGGTTTGCTTTTTTAAAGTCAGATATAAGATGACTGTATAGGAACCAAATTCTGCAGCATATACCTCTGCAAACGTTCCTCAGCTTCTCACATCTCTGGAGAACACTGACAAGTTCATGTCACTTAACACAGGAAGTCCTGAATTTAAACCTCTTAGATTAATATTCCATTTTTTCAATAGGAATGTTTGTAGTATTTCTTTATAAATGTCAAAATGAACCCTGGGCCTTTTCTTGTCTGACATACACATCCTCCCCTTAGCCCCCGCCCCCCATTATCTTGTACTTCAAAGCACACTGACAGTTAGGGTCCCTCCTCTGAGGCAGAGGGCACTTTGGTTTCTTTGTCCGAGCAGAACACGAGTATTGATTACACAGCCGTTTTTCTATTTTTGCTAAGCCCCTTCATTCGGGCCCTACAGGGACAAGAACTCTTAGGACCGAGTGTCTTGTAAACAACTGCTGGGTTAAAGAATAGATGTCGGACTCTTTCCTTGTAATGAAGCCCAAGTGCATTGTGCCAGTGGAGATTATTAATGATCTGGATTCAATCTACTTAAGTAATTTACTTACATCACAAGGGAGTCACGGAACAAGAACTCTGGGCTACACAATGGTTCAAATGCACCCTTCACCGAAGCACCATTCGCTCTCAAACAAGAGCCCTGCTTCCTCAACCCGCGAGGATGGGCAACACCAGGGTTTAACACCCCAACTGTCTTCACCCCTCCTCCCTTAAGGGGGTAAAAGGACACAAAGGAATTCTTTCCAGCTTTCCAAACAGCTGACCGTCTTGACCCCCTCCTTGCTCAGAGCCCAGCGTGCTGAAGGCTTGGGCTGGGAAGGAAGGGGGAGGGGGTGGGTGGTTCAACAGCAACGTGGAGATCTGTGAACTTCATGCTGTGGCAGAAGCTCTGAGCCGTACTTTCCACTAGTGTCTGACACCAAGAGTCAAGTAATACAGGAATTTACAGCGTGATAGTCAATTTGTCCTTAGGCTAAATTAACGCCAGAGGCACCATGGGCAGGAGATGTGGGTGTGGCCCAGGCCAGCTAGCCACGCTCGTCCTCTGCCCTCAGTAGTCCGTCTAAGGCTGGCTCGTACCACATGTAGTTTTTACCCCCAATGAACTCAAACATGAAGACTTTTGAATGGGTCTCGCAAGATATATCCAATCTATGCTTTCTCTATTGACACGTAAATACCAGGCCTTTTGCCGAAAGGGAATGAGTAAGAGATTTTCTTCCAGGAGTCTTTTAGTTGTGTCTAAAAAAGAATCCATCCTAGGAGTCTACTTTTTTTTTTTTTTTAAGTTTTATTTATTTTGAGAGAGAGAGAGTGCAAGCAGGGGAGGGGCTGAAAAAGAGAGAGAATCTCAAGCAGGCTCTGCACTATCAGTGCAGACAGAGTCCATGTAAGGCTCGACCTCATGAAACTTCGAGATCATGAACTGAGCTTAACCACGAGTCAAACGCTTAACTGACTGAGCCACTCAGGTGCCCTTAGGAGTCTGGTTTTTAAATATACAATTAGGTCTTGCAAATACAACAGCAGACAATGTCAGCTACCTGGTCAAATAGCATCCCTCCTTGACTCATGTACTTCCTCTCTGCTGAGAGAGATAAGATTTTGTTTCCTTTCCACCAGATCAGAGAGCTTTCCCTCCTGGGGAGACTGAGGTGTGGGTCTGATTGACTTGGACCCATTGTGATCGTCTTGTTCCTTCGGTGATGGATTTAAGCACGGGCAGGCAACATACTTCTTCTGACTAGTAGGATAAGACTGGGAATCTTTTGAGGTTTTGTTGGTTCTTAAAATAGGACACGAAGTAGGAATGGCCCTTTTCTGCCTCTGGGCAGGTCATCTGCATGTGTTGCTTAAACTCAGGGGAGTATGTTGGGATCATGTTAAGAGCCAGTCTCTGAGGCCAGATTAACAACATACTGAGGGAATCAGAGCAGAAAAATGGGAGAACTGGGGTCTCTGATGATTATCACTGAGCAAATGAACTAACCAAGCTTAGAACCTCTTACCCCGAAATTTCTTATATTCAATACCAAATTCCTTATCCTTTAGACTACTTTAACCATTTTAACTTAAATCTTCACTGCTTGCAGCCCAGAACATCTCAGTAGGTGTAAATATCACACAAATGTATTGTAAAATTAGGCAGGAATGTATTCTGATGTGTTCCTAGACACATCCTTCTATCTGTATAAAAGAATTTGTGAAAATGCTTTTCTGATTGGGAATGGATCTTAATCAGCTCATTTTTATAGAAAAGTGATGGCAAATATTAGATTTTACACATCAGTGCTACAAGACTGAGCAGATGTTTAAATGGTACCTACAAAAAGAAACACTAAGGACCCATGTGAATTAGTCTAAGCTAAGAGGATTCTCGGGGCAGACAGCTGCCTTGCGTCTCCATGCACAGTTACAAAAAGCAGGAAGGCTTTTCCAACCCCTTCCCGCCTCTGACATTGTTAAAAGGCACTGGTCCGACAACATCCATAACATCTCTACAGCCTAGGTTGAAAGAAAGCAATGGCAAAGCCAAAGGGGGAGGCCTGGAATGTTGGGGTGACTGTGAAGTGACGTACCGTCCCCCTCCGGGACGTCACTTCCACATATGGCTGAGTTCCAAAGAGAGGCCTTTCTGGCACCTGTGCCCACCAGAACAGTTTCAGGAGCCCAGTGCCATGTGTGTATGCTAATCAAACGCAGTTCCATTAAAGCCTGTGCACCATCTAAACGAGCTCCTCCTTCCTTAGGTTACAGCTCAGGGATGGAGTGCACAGGGTCTGCGACTATGAGACCCCACAGGGGTGGGGTCCTGATTGTGGGCTTTGGACAACTTGACTATTCTGAGTCTCAGTTACCTCATCTGCAAAATAAATGTAATTATAGTATTGTGCCTCTGAGGGTTATTATAAAGTTTAATGAGATAATGTACTTGTAGTGCCTCACATGCAAACAATAGGAAATTTACTAAGATACTAGTACTAATGGGGATCCTATACCAGAATAGTCACATTTTCCCCAAGAGAAAATCATCTATAAATCAAAGCAGCAAAATGCAGCTTAATTAGGTAGTCTTAAGAGACATTTGTGTACTGAAAGGCTCCCAACCTATCTCCTGTTCCTGGACTACCAACATACACATTAATATTTTCAAGTCCTCGAGTTCGGATTCTCCCATGGGGGTGGGGGGGGGGAGGGGTCAGGGGTGCAAGAGATAAATTTTACAGACTTGACCCCTGCCACACAAGCTTCTTGACAGGGTATTTTAGGGATCATTACATTCTCTTAAAGGACAATGAGACAAGCCAGGAGTGTACTATCCTAGACGATCCATTTTTGCAGCCAAATTTGTTTTGAATTACCTTGTGCACATAACACTTATTACACTGTCATCTTGGAATCACATCACTGAGAGCCTTAGCGAGGGGATAACTCCGGTACACTGTCAACCATCCGAGAATGACAGCCTTTATTCTCAGGATTAGCATTACATCTACATTACACAGAACGGCTATGATGATGGCTGCAATTACAGATGGAATGCTCATCCGGTGACGTTTGGCCCGGTCAAATTAAATATCATTAACTCACCCAATTGAGCAGATTGCTTTTAAAACAGTTTATGCAGCTCTAAAACCAAGTAAATGGAATATTTTGGAACCAGAAATGCTGATTGCAAACTTTATCTTTATTATAAATTAAAGGCTTAAGTTATTCACCTAAGGCTCTGGCCGGCCCCTTGGGACTTAGGTGCAATTATGGTGAGAATCCAATCAGTCTGTCTCAAGGCAGACATCATTGCCACAAATATGACATGACACTAAGGAACCTTCAAGAGGTCCGTTAGTGTAAGGTCTCCTGAGACAAGACAATTATTTCGAGGGTGTGGAATGATTCCTGGTTCCGATTAGGCCTGGGTAACACGCCTGCAGCTCTTTGTATGAGGCACTCGTGACGGTCTTCTCCAAGGTCCTGAGAACTAACACAAAGCTGGGGGCGTTTCCATCTGGGGGTAGATTTCACGGACAACCCATCTGTCCATCTTCCGGTCATTCAGTTCCTGAGAAAACATCTGCTGAGGTTATCCAGTGAGAGTCGTTCCTCTCTTGGAAGACATCAGGATGCCACTTGGGAAAATTTCTGGTGCAGAAATGAGGCTAGGGCATGTGCGAGCCACTCAAGAAATGGTCAGAAGGAATGTTGTTGTGGGCAGCATTTGCCCTAAGACATTTCGTGAGGGATCTGATTTGCTGAGGTGGCCGGAATGTTCCCACAGACTACACATCCTGGAACACAAATTGAGCCCATAACCCAGAGAGGGGGGGAGACCTGGGTCATCACTGTCTACCTAGAAATGCCATTGGTGAAGGTCACGTCATACATCTGTAGTATCGCCTTTCAAAACAGGAGCCTGGAAAGCTTGCACAGTGCTGTATAACTTAACTGTGCATATGTAATACTGGGAAAAGATATACCACAAGGTCTCTAAATTAGAAAATAAGTATCTATTTATGGGAAGACATTTGGTTTCTGAGGATCAACATACTGCAATCACCTCTATTTCTACTGCATGTGCAAACGACCCCCAACCCCAATATAAAGTGCTAACGCAATTTTGAATCCAGCCTCCTATCAATTACGCCCCTGGCTAAAACACAACTTTCATAGGGTTCATTTAATTAAATACAGGGGCAGTGATTTCATTCTGTAAAATATCACACCTGTGTTGTCAAACTAATTAAAACTTAGGTTCCAATGGAAGTAGCAGACAATAATAAACTACATACCAACAAGTAAAAGGTTTCAAGCCCTGATTTGGGCTGAAAAAAATGGTTCTTCATTTGGAAAACTCCTTGTTCTGTCTTAATTTATTTCAAATGTATAGTCTGCTCTGGGGCTTGACATAGCGAAGGCCAACTTATCTAAAATGTAGGTGTTATGTCTGTTAAGAAGAAACAGGAATCGGGGGCACCTGGGTGGCTCAGTCAGTTAAGCATCACACTTCGGCTCAGGTCATGATCTCGCAGTTCATGGGTTCGAGCCCCACATAGGGCTCAGAGCCTGGAGCCTGCTTAAGATTCTGTGTCTCCCTCTCTCTCTGCCCCTACCCTGCTCATGCTCAGTCTCTCTCTCTCTCTCAAAAATAAATAAATGTTAAACAAATTTTTTTTTTTTAATTTTTTTTTCAACGTTTTTTATTTATTTTTGGGACAGAGAGAGACAGAGCATGAACGGGGGAGGGGCAGAGAGAGAGGGAGACACAGAATCGGAAACAGGCTCCAGGCTCTGAGCCATCAGCCCAGAGCCTGACGCGGGGCTCGAACTCACGGACCGCGAGATCGTGACCTGGCTGAAGTCGGACGCTTAACCGACTGCGCCACCCAGGCGCCCCAACAAATTTTTAAAAAAAGGAAAGGGAGTCTTAATGAACAAATAGTGTTCACAGTAACGTGTTTCTGTGGAAAACCCTCACTTTACTATGTGATGTCTATGTGTAAATAGACAACACTTGCATAGATTTCAGTTTCTTTGATGTAAAAACTTAAGGCATGCCTGCTTGGGTGGCTCAGTCCATTAGACATCCAACTCTTGGTTTCGGCTCAGGTCATGATCTCACGGTTCGTGGGAGTGAGCCCTGTGTCGGGCCCTGTGCCGACAACATGGAGCCTGCCTGGGATTCTCTCTCTTCTGTCTCTCTCCCTTCCCCTACTTTCTCTCCCAAGGTAAATAAACATTTTTTAAAAACCTTTAAATCTCTAGTATGATACCTACCACGGACCACACTAGAGTTTGTCCATGTTAACTTCTAAATGTATCCTGATGCTGGTTCCTTGGGCTTGCTCCCTCTCCAAGGGGAAGATCACCTGCCTTACTGCACCTGCGTGCTGTGCACACCTGAATTTATAGTTGAGGTAACTGTCCTGCGAGAGGGGCCTTCCTGATGTCTGACTTAAGTATCTCAGATTTGAAAATCCTGTACTTGTTTTCTTAAAGAGAGAGTATTCCTGGCTGCCAGCCTCTAAATAATAAAATGGGTAACATGTCTTCAAGAAAGCGAGGCTAAAAATCATCTGTGTACTTAGTTTTTTGTAAAGTTAGTCCTAAAATACTGTAAAATGCTTTCTTCTCAGGTAAAAATCTACCTTAATATTTCATCTCCTTTACGAAGAAGCCGTGATGGCATCACCCCAAAGTCCCATTGTGATGACCTCCAAATGTCCATTAAACTACAACACATTTGAATTACTCTACATCTTAAGATAAACATGCACATTTCAAAAAAAAAAATTTTTGAGAAAGAGAGAGACAGAGAGGGAGGGGCAGCTGGAGAGGGGGACAGAGGATCCAAAGTGGGCTCCCTATGCTGTCAGCAGAGAGCCCAATGTGGGGCTCGAACTTACGAACGAACCATGAGGTTATGACCTGAGCTGCAGTTGGATGCTCAACTGAGCCACCCAGGTGCCCCAAACATGCACATTTTTTAAAAAATCATCTTAAAGGTGATAATTTAAAAATGCAACTCAACATAGGAAAGCCCAGTGTCGTGTTCTTGGAAACAAGGTGTTCCTATAGCTAAGTCTCCCCTACTTTCTATGATTCATAAGTTCTTTGGAACATTTCTTCTCCAGTTGTATCCTTAATGCCTTTGCAGCAGGGATTGGTTTCAAGTTTAAATTCAGTTAAAAATGGTTGATCACATTCCATGGTCTGTCACCGTTCACTCCTGGCAGACATTCTTCCAAATGCCTCCAACCACCCTCGCCCTTCTCTTATTCTTCATACTCATCTGGAAAAGCCTTGACCAATTCTTAAGATCCAACCACCCGCCCAGTGTCCATTTGTACACGAGTTTATTGATGCTGGAGAATAGTCACACAAGGAGAGGTCACTGAGTAGAATTCACAGCATTTTCCTTGATGTATAATCACATAGTTATTTTTCTATTGACTGCCTGCATTTTCTCACCAGGTCTTAAAGTCCATGAGGGCCTGAACCGTGTCTTTTGTTCCCCATAGCACACAGAGACCTGCTGGATTGCAGATGGCTTGCCAACAAGTCACCTGAGTGACCTATTCATTCGTTTGCAGACACAGTTCCCTCACTGTGCACATCTGCTGGCGTGGTCCTTTCTACCCTTACACAAAAATATATTTTCTGCTCTATGATCTTATATGCTTAGCTAAGTTGAACACAAATCTAATGGAGTCTACTTTAGAAGTTCCAAGTTTCGAATGAGAATAAAACATGCATTTTATATATTTTTACATACATGCATATTTAGTGAGAAGCATTCTCAAAGTTAAATAATATAGCATGCCATGCTCAATAGGATCCACATGCTATCAAGGAAAGTATCCTCTGCTTCGTGGACAGTGTGAAACATGAGGCCCAGAAAGGTTATGGAATGTCTGCGAAAGAGCACGGCAGCTCTACCCAAGCTTTCCTGTCCTCCGTGGGTTCTGTACTGCATGAGGTGAGGCGGGGCCGTTTCAAGTGAAAACGCAAAACCTCCCATTATAGGGGAAGGAGACGAGAAAGGCCAACGTTACAGACCTTATAGAAAAATCACAAAATGCAAAACGGTTTCTTTTCCTTGACCATTCTCTTCTCTCTCTCCTTCTCCCCTCCCCATCCCCCTGCCCTCTTCCCCCACACCCTCCTCCAGGATCACTGCTTCTGGTTGTGCAGACTGAGCTGTGCTCCAGGTGTCCAGACAAGGAGGTGAGTAGGGTGGGTGGGCTCAGAAGAAAGGGAGCCCTTTTCTACCCACCCCCCGCCAAAGGAAGGGCTGGCAGGGGTCCCCCTGCTGGCTGCCACGAGGTCCGAAAACCCGTACAGTGGAAGCATGTGAACATTTGGCTTCTGGGCACCTGCATTTTTGCCCTGGACACACAGAGGGCTCTGTCGGGGGGCTCAGCTCCCTTATCCCTATGCCAAAAAGGTGTCCTTCCCGAGTACTACCCTGTTGCCGAGTCTGGGAGAGGAGGCATTATCTCCCTGCGCTCCACTGCTCACCTGGGTATCTAATGAGCGGCCATAATGGCCACAGCGAAATGCAGGAGTTTCGGACACTTCCGTCATCATCAAGGCAACAGGGGCACAGCGCTCCCTCTGTGCCAGACGCTATTCTAAGCACTGTGCATGCATTTACCCAGGTGATCTTCACGTGGGGGAGATCATGTAACATTATCTGCATTTTACAGATGACATGGAAAGGCCGGAGAGCATCTGTGTAGCTGCAGACCTCTGGTTCAAGATGCCAGTGGCTTCTACCTCGCACTGGGAGAGGCACACTTAGTTCAGAGGTAGCCAAGCTTTCTACATGTCAATTTTATTTAAAAAAATTTTTTTTAACGTTTATTTTTGAGACAGAGAGAGACAGAGCATGAACGGGGGGTGGGGCAGAGAGAGAGGGAGACACAGAATCTGAAACAGGCTCCAGGCTCTGAGCTGTCAGCACAGAGCCCGACGCGGGGCTCGAACTCACGACCGTGAGATCGTGACCTGAGCCGAAGTCGGACGCTTAACCAACTGAGCCACCCAGGCGCCCTTCTACATGTCAATTTTATTGCACGCAATGATCCATATTAGCATTATCTCCTACCATAAAAGCAATACAGCCGCCAATCAAAGGGGAAAGGTGTGGTTACATTTTTGCAAGCATCGCACCCAAGGCCTCATGAAAACCATTTTATTATGTCATTTCCATCTCCCTGGTGTGAACTTCATATTGGTCTCATAAATATCTCTTATAAACTTAAATTTGTTAGCTGTTTTCCTCAAAGACTAGGGGAATGTTTAAGATAAAATTCCACCCTCAAGCCTCTAATCATAAAGAAAAGGACATATAGGAAGACTCTCGCAAACAATTGCTGTCATGCAGAAATTAAAAGAATATTAAGACAAGTGTTTAATGATGTTTTATGTGACCATGGTCATTTAAGTTTCAAATAGGATTGTAATGGAGATTGCATGAAGCTGTGCAAGATAAGGAAGGGGTTAGTTTCACATGTGTTAAGACTCTTCGGCTCTGGGGGGTGACTGCCTCAGTTTATTTTATTTTATTTTTTAATTTTTTTTAACGTTTATTTATTTTTGAGACAGAGAGAGACAGAGCATGAACAGGGGAGGAGCAGAGAGAGAGGGAGACACAGAATCTGAAACAGGCTCCAGGCTCTGAGCTGTCAGCACAGAGCCCGAGGCGGGGCTCGAACTCACGGACCGTGAGATCATGACCTGAGCCGAAGTCGGACGCTTAACCGACCAAGCCACCCAGGCGCCCCAGACTGCCTCAGCTTAAATACAGGCTGATCACTTTTGTGTTAAGTCATCTTGAGCAATTAACCTCCTGGTGACTCAGCATTCTTATCTGTACAATGGGTCAACAGACGGACCTAACTCACTGGGTTGTTGTTAGAATTCATGAGGCCATACATAGCAAGTAGTTAGGGTTTGCGCCCCGGGAGAGTGAGTGCTCAATAAATGTTAGCTGTCTGTTATCCTCATTCATTTCAAGAATTATTGGGGAACCCACTATGTGCCAGGCACTGATCAAGTGGTAACCAAAGCTCAGTGACACCGGGTGAAGAGTGAACACTGTCTGGGCTCTGGGGTGAGACACACAGGGGTCTGAATCTCTGCTCTGCCATTTACCAGATGGGATGCCAGGAGGACTACCCTACCTCTGTGTGCCTCAGTGTCCTCCACTGAAAATTTAGGTCATTCCAGCACTTCCTTCCTAGGGTTTCTGTCACTGAACGGTGTCAAGTAAAGGCCCTGGGGCAGGGCTGAATGTTACCATTGTCACCACCCTGCAAACCTGGACAAGTTACCAGAGTTCTCCCTGTACCTCATCTGAAAACAGAGTTATCAAGATTCAGTGTAAAGGGTCTGGCTCAGAATCAGCACTCTCACAGGAGACACCAGCCCCTGTGTGGTTTCTAGACATTCTAGACATTCCAACTGACAAATCTCGGTAAAACATGACTGCAAATACATTGTGTGAGGACATCAATAAAAAAGATTTTATGTTGCACTCATGTCTATGGGAAAGAAGCCTTTCTCGATCCCAGCACCCGCCTCAAGGATATAGTATTCTGGAGTACTTGTACTGGATGTTTGCTTTGTGCCAGGAATTGTGCTAAATGCTGTAGACGCATGATCCTATCCCCTCTGCCCAATAAAACGGTCATGGGTGAGGTCAGCAGCATTCTCTATTTTGATAGATGAGAAAATCAAAGCCCAAGGAGCTAAAAGCAGCATCCTAAGACTTGTGTGAGTCCTAAGCAGTACAGATGGGATTTGAATCACATCTGCCCAAGTTCAAGCATAGGTTCTAAACCTCTAACCCCTGACCTGCACAGCTGGAGCACTGTGACCTGACCTCGGCCCAAAGCAAAGGTAAGATTAGGTGTACACAAGATGGGAGGGTAGAGTGAAGAAGAGCCTTCATCACAAAAGGGGCAGGTGAGGCACAGATGGGAAATGCAAGGCTCTGATGAGAAGCAGGAAATTCCTGGCTTAAGAAAGACATCCATGGTTGACACCTTGGTGGGAACGGGTGAGCCGGGCCAGGCTGTACCAAGGTGACTATGTCCATGGACCTATCCCAGAAAGTCCCCTTGGTAATGGTCCATGTTTAACAAGCAGAATGAGAAAACACTGGTTTTGGACATTCACTCACCCACCCCTTCCTACTAAACTGTGAAAAGCTAAGGAACCTCTGGTCTCAATTCTCTTCTTACAAAGTTGTCCCTTCAAATTTTAGCCTCTTGTTTCTACCAACTTCCTGAGGCATTCTGTGGAGCTCTAGCGATGGGCCACGATTTAAAATAGTCCAACTAGGAGGAGAGTAATGTTAGTCTTATGTTAAAACAGGAAACTCTTCAGCGGGAAGAAAACCAGCGCCATGAGACATTTCGAAGTCTTGAATCTTACAGGAGCCACAGGCCAAGATATCAAATTTTAAAAGAAGCTTTTTGACCTCAATGATCTGTGTTTTATTTACTCCTCTTGACAAGATTATGATACTTCCTAACTTTTTCAACAACACCAATGTCAGGTAACAAACCAATGGATGCCAGGAGAAATGAGAACTAATGATGATACACTTTAAATACAATTTCCTGACTCTTGTGGATTTGTGTCTTACATTTTTAGTGGAGCTTCAACAGTGGTTTGAAATCTTTTTTGTTTGTTTTCTATATTTTTTAAATATTTTATTTATTTATTTTAGAGAGACTTGAATATAGACTCCCTGTAATGTTCTGGATCCTTAATCACAGTTCCTTCTTGGGGTCCCTCACACGTGCGCGGTGAGGGCACCATGTCACCACCTGCTGGTTCCTGTCCAACAGAAGCTACTATATTGTTGGGAGCCTCTGTGTCAGAGAATCCGACATGTCCATTCTTTTGCTAGAAAACCATAATAAGGTTGGAGTATAGGAAGAAGAATGGTTTATGCTTCCAACTGGTTAAAAAAGCCACTCAATCTCGTATTTCAACACCTCTCTCTACACAATGGGACACACAGTCCCTAGCCTCAACAGGGGAAGCCCATGCATTTGCTCCTAAAATACTTTGTTCTTTGCACAAGCTTTCCCACATGATTGGTGTTTTAGAACTGTATTTTTTTTTAAAAAAAGCACATCATCTCTAATTATACAATTCCTACATTTTTAGTTTTAATCTTTACTGGACATCAACAGTTCCAAGTGGTATTATGATGGGTAATTTTCAGCATTTTTATTATGAAAAATTTTCCTGATCATCTTTTCCCTCTTAATTATCCCCATGAGGCAAATTGTAGAATAAAGTCTGCAGTTAGCAGGATGGCCTTTGCTACTCCAGCGTCCTCAGGGTCAGGGGGATGGGCTCCATATTTTATTCTCCTAGCTTGTGGCAATGGACTCATTTTGGAGAGGGATGATGGTATGTGTGTGTATGTGAATTATATGAATTCAGTGCTTATCTAAGTTGGTATGTATAAGCACAAAAACTAACCTCCCGTTTGTCCTAAACTGTGACAATATTCTGTTTTTAATTGCAAATTATTGCTGTGTTGAGAAAATTTAGGTTAGAGGAGAAAAATATGTGTCTCTTTCCTGCTGGTTTGAGATATACTTCTAAATTTGAATAAAATTTCTAGAAGACAAAACACTTGATCCTACCCACTCACACTTCATCTGTACTATGTCTAAGAATATTGCATTTAAGAGTACTTAACATGCAATGATGAATCCAGATAGATCTTCAGTGAATTGCCAAGAGATTCATGGTTTGCAGATACTCCCCTTGCAACGAGAGACAACTTTCTATCAATAGACTATATAAATTCTCTTTACGTTGTCTCCACTGAAGTACAGAGTTACCTAGTGATCACTGTGAGAAATTAATGCAGAATTCTGGAAATATTAGCTTTGAAAGAAGAGCCAATGAAAGTCAGCAGGAATGATGGACCCTGGAGGCATGGAAGAAACAGAAATTGGTAAGATTTAGAACCTTTATGAATCAAAAATAAACTTAAGGTGGTAGTTCTTTCTCAAAGATTTACAAGTGTGATTTATAAATGGCACCAAAAGAATAATGATGACATCGTGGGATATTTATCACCTCTAAAATAGGGAATAAAATGACTCTCCCTCTCAACTTCACAGGTACCGAGGGCTTTAAAATATGACCACATTATAATAATTGATCTTCGCTTTTTTGGTGATTAAATTCTGGGGAATAAGAATGGCAGAGTAATTACAAGTTTAAGCTGCACAGAACTCCAGCACAGAGAAGGCCCATGGTAATAAGTTTTTGGATCTTAACAGAGATAAAAAATAAAATGAAAGATGTGTGTGAAAAGGATGAACATTACAGCCCTTCTAGATTCCATTCCACAATCTCCTGCTCCAGCAACTCTGCCCCGTTGTGGGAGCAACAAGTATGTCCCCAAGGATAAGGATCCTCAACTGTTACAACCGCTTGAGTTCATTTTCTTGCCCTCAGTGTTGGTTACCCAGAAGCATCACATCAGCGTGGCAGGTCCTTCAGACAACCCCCTCTCGGGTCCAGCAGGGGATACAGAGGAGACGGACTCCTTGCCTGTGGCCACCTAGAGACACTTTGTTTAGGTGACAAAATAACCCGGAGTCTATTCCAGTGAACCCAGCCATGGACGACTCCAATGACAGGCTGGCCAAAGCACAACTGTGAACTCTCTCCTCTGCTGTCAGACTGTTAGTGACCTTTAATGAAGAAGCTAACCGGGTTGCTTTTGTGGGAGGAAAGAGGATAAAACTCTTCGCAGGGCACAGGAATTAGCGTGCGGACTCCCATCCCTGCGACAGACAAGAACCTGCAGTATTTTCTAAGATGATTTATTAGACCTGGGCAACATTTGCTAGAAACCTACCAAGAGCAAATCGTCTGGGAAGGAATTAATGATCCAAACACAACACTTGATAATGCAATTAGAATATGAGGAAATGCAGGGGTTTTCCAGAGAGAGAGAGAGAGAGAGAGAGAGAGAAGTAGGGAGGGAGGGGGACATAGGGAAAGATGGAGGGAGGGGGAACAGAGAGATAGAGGGAGAGAGACAGAAGTATGTGTACATGATTTTGGTTATGTCAAACCTAAAGCCAGAAAAAGGGTCTAACGAATTTCTAAAAGAGTAAAGTTGTCAGAGGGGAGGAGAGGACTGGGGTGAGATTTCTAGTTCTGGTGTTCGCATAGAGTTAGCAAGTGTGCCCAGCTGAGTGGAAATGCACTTGCAGCTATGTTTCAGCAAAACGGGGTGTGGGACTGACAAAAAGAAATCAGATGGCTGGCGGCCAAAATATGGATCCCCATCAAGGAATGGCAGAGCCCAGCTCTGGGAACAGTGTTTGTCTTTAGCTCCTGTAGGCAACAGTAAAGATGTCTCCCCCGCCCGCTGCTTGTGTTTGGGTCAGGGACTCTCTTCCTTTAAACCTTTACTTAGTTGACTTAGAAACCAAGAGTCTGAAGCTCTGGAAGCTTCTCTCTGACCTCATTTCATCTTGCCTCATGGATGAGCTCACTGAAAAATGTGTTTTCCAGGGGTAACATCCCCCATGTGTATCTAGAGGAAATGTCTGGCCGTGTATACACTTGTTCTAACTGCTATCCTATGATGTGCACACACTCTCCCTCTGGGTTGTGTTACAAGGTTCCTTTTATTTTTACGAACGTAGGACTCTATACATTTTAAAAAATGTGTTGTTGAACACTATGTTCCCTTACCCCCTCCATTGGCTTTTTTAGTCTGGAGAGGATATGGTTAACATTTTTAATGCCTCTCCAGAGCATGTCTTTATTTAAATCTTCGGTGTAGTCATGCTATGCAGCCCCTTCATACTCTCCACGTATTCTCTTCTGCTTTAGCTCGGCAAGTAGAAGTCAAGCTTGGGATGGCACCCTGACAGCCAAGCCCTCTTGGGATACGAGAGAACACAGGGCACGTATGCACAGGGGAGTATCGGTCATGAAATACTTTTCCTTCAATCCAGGACTCCTCTGGCCCTGCAGCCTCCACCCGGCCGATGCTGACAGCTTCCGTTCAGACGGTCAGGAAGCCCACCATGGCCACCGTGACTGAATCCTACACTCCGTACGGGGGGCCCTCCTGCCCAGCACCGGCCACCCGCAGAGCTGGGTACCGGTGCATTTTCATCTCCCTCCACCTCCGGGTGCTAAGATCATGACTTCGTTAGCCTTGCGGCCCCTGCATCCTTACCAGTGGCCCCTCCTACGGGGCACACACTACAGGTGTTCAGTAAATACCATGTTGGACAAGTGACACAATCTGAGCACTTCCTCCAAACATGCTGTGCGTCTCTACCTTTGTGTGTTACGTTTGGGAAGCCTTGGCCTTTCGTACTTCTTTTGAAAGCCTGTTTTCCTGTTTCCCCTTTAAGAGAAATGACGTGGCAACGGTGGGGGCCGATGATGTCCACACAAGTTGTCCTTCCCGCAGCCGCTGCCATCACTTTACCTGTCTGTCTCCTAGAGACCTTTTACCCCTAAAGGAGCAACTGTGGCTGCTCCTCCTTTGGAAATGCTGGCTTCCTCCCTTGGTCCCCAGAGCCTTGACTAGCTTGTTTGACAATATGTAATAGGTGACACCATGCCATACAGACACCAGGCCATGAGTGCTGGGAGCACAGGGCTGGTTTCAGTCTTTCCCTCAGCATGTGGGCCAGAGAACAAAGCAGGCCCTCAATAAATGCTGGCCTTGGGGCACCTGGGTGGCTCAGTCGGTTAAGCGTCCAACTTCAGCTCAGGTCATGATCTTGTGGTGAGTTCGAGCCCTGTGTCGGGCTCTGTGCTGACTGCTTAGAGCGTGGAGCCTGCTTCAGATTCTGTGTCTCCCTCTCTCTCTCTGCCCTTCACCCACTTGCACTCTGTCTCTGTCTCTCTCTCAAAAATAAACATTAAAAATTTTTTTTAAAATAAATGCTGGCCTTACAACAACTACAGGGTGACTCTCTACTGGGATAACTTGCAAATGAACTCCTCTCCTGCCTTAACACGGTGCTAAGATGAACCTCCCTTGAATGAGGCATCACAGGATGCATCACGTAACCCCAACAGCTCTGGAGCTGCCTCCCTTTCAACAAAGGAGGAAACTGAACACAGTTTCTTGGTCCAGACTTTTGACGATGCTTCTGCTGCAGATCTGTATTCCCTAGATTACCTTACACTGTCATTATATGCTCATTAGTATCAGATTTACTTTCTGACCTCCAGCCATCCCAGAATGTAAACCCCCGAGGAGAGGGACTGTGCTTCTGACCACACTGCCAGACATTCAGTGCAATGCCAGGGATGCTGTTCAGATGGTGTGCTTGAGTCACACAGTCCTGTGCTCGGATCCCGGTTCTGCCCCTTAGCAGCCGTGCAATCCCAGGCCCGTGAATGAGCTTCTCTAACCCTCAGTTGCCTCGTCTATAAGATGGACATAACAACAGTACCTGCACTTTAAGGGGCTGTGTTGGAATCACACAGGATTCCACATATAACAGCTGTACATAAACCACGTGCGT